AGGAGGCGAGGCCTCCTTACATATGGTGTGATGCGCGCACATTCAGGTAGGCCCGCCCTAGGCCAGCTACGTCTATAGAAGTCTCAGTGGGGGAATGCACACAGGATAAGGTAGTACCCATAGAGTCCAGTAGAGGGCTCCGCCTGTGCTAATGTAACAAGGGTTACAATACGTAACCCAACGTTATCACCTCAAATATGCACACCATGAATAGTATCAGGAACTGGCTTTGATTCCATGAAAGCTGAAAACATACACTACACATGAAAAAGATTCAGTGTGGGTCAGTCCCAAGTTTCACACACACACACACACACACACACACACACACACACACACACACACACACACACACACACACACACACACACTTTTTTAATTGCACTTTTATGAGTTATAATTTTGAAGTTCATGCCGTCTTTTTCTTTTGTAACCATTGTTAAATGGAGCTAACTGTGTGCCTCCCCTTCCCTGGCTGCATGTAGGCTATGAGTGTGTCTGTGTGTGATCCATGTGCAGTGGGGGAACAAGTATTCAGATGCTTTACTTGAGTAAAAGTACCATTACATTGTTGTCAAAATACAACAAGTAAAAGTCCTGCATTCAAAATCTAACTTAAGTAAAAGTACAAAAGTATTATCAGTAAAATATAATTAAAGTATAAAAAGCAAGAGTACTCATTGTGCAGAACAATATACTTTATGTGTGTATATAATTATATTTATACTTGTGACATTTCTAGATAATATAGTTGCATCAAGTAGCATTTTACTGACAAAGTTCTGATTGACTTGATGATTTGACTCAAAGTCCACTAATTACATTTTTTTAAACAAAAGATATATTTTATTAAAAGTAACTAAAGCTTTTAAATAAAGTGGAGTAAAATGAGAGTGTTTCCCTTTTAATTGTAGTGGAGTAGAAGTGTAAAGTTGCATTAAATGGAAATAAGTAAAGTACCCTTAAAATGTTGTTTAAAGTGGACCTATCATGCTATATTTGAATAATACACTGAACAAAAATATAAACGGTAATGTTGTGAATCGAGTGGCCCATGGTGGTGGTGGGGTTATGGTATGGGCAGGCGTCATACTTGCCAACCTTGAGACCTCAGAAATCTGATTTTGTGGTAGAAATATGACCCCGGGAGGAAACCGGGAGAGGGCAATGAAATCGGGAGTCTCCCGCGAAAAAGTATGGCAGGCATATGTTATGGACGACGAACACAGGCCACTCGATTCACAACATTACCCTAACCCTAACCCTAACCCTAATCCTACCCCTCACACCAGATACTGCCTGGTTTTCGGACCCCCCCAATAAAGCAAAACTGCACGTTTCAGAGTAGCCTTTTATTGTGGCCAGCCTAAGGCACACCTGTGCAATAATCATGCTGTCTAATCAGCATCTTGATATGCCACACCTGTGAGGTGGGATGGATTATCTCGGCAAAGGAGAAGTGCTCACTATCACAGATCTTTTCAGATTTGTGAACAATATTTGAGAGAAATGGTTATTTTGTGTATATAGAAACATTTTTAGATCTCTGAGTTCATCTCATGAAAAATGGGAGCAAAAACAAAAGTGTTGCGTTTATATTTTTGTTCAGTGTATATTTTTTCAAAATACCAAACAGATCATGCATTTTAGCCTTGCCTCATTTCGCTCTATTTGCCTCATTTCGCTCTATATGCTCTATTTTAGCCCTGTTTTTGCAGGGGCTGAATCTGTGAGAAGTCTTCTTCGCTGCTTTTGTGGCAGACTACAGCGCCTGGCATGTATGTACTACAGCGTCTCCAGCGCTTTCGAACGGCAATGGCCGTAGCTGTCTCCTCCTGATAGGTGAAGAGTTGCCCATATAGGCGGAGCTCCTCGTTTCTGACGTCAGAGATATTTCAAATCTGTATCAGTCTGTATCAGATCCGTTGCAGCCCTGTTTTTAGAGATTTGGGTATGGAGGAAAAGAGAGAGGGTTGTGTTTTCTGACACTTGGTGAGTTCCCTGACACACCGGGGACACATATTCATGTATAAAAGACGTACAAAAGTGCATTTTGCATGATAGGTCCCCTTTAAGTACAATACTTGAGTAAATGTACTTAGTAACTTCCCACCTCTGTCCATGAAGTATCTCATGTCTCATCAGAGTTAAATGGAAAAAGCTGATTGACAGTGAAGTCAGAGAAACTTTGATTGTTCCAAGAAAGAAGATTGAAGATCAGGTGTTTAGACGTATATCACCTTTCTCACCATTCACCAATGTTATTCTTCATATTTCTGTGGTGGTTCCACGTGAAGCATTACAAATAGCTGCTGCTTCAGTACTCCACAGCTGTGTGTTTTAGTTTTCTGTTGACTCTGTAAACCGACACCTCATTTGCATTAAAGCCAACAGCTGGCCAACGGAAAGGGCAGTTACACCTGTCTGTTCACCTGTGTTTGTATACGTGTGTGTGTGTGTGTGTGTGTGCTTTACTTCAACCCACCTGTTCAAACATTGTTCTGTGTGTGTTTGCCTACCAGGACAATGAACCTGTAATGAGGAAATGTTTGAATATGTTTGTTGTTTGGTTGTCCAGGTGTACGAAGTAGTTGTCACCAGTAATGGTAACTTTATAAGATACTACAGTTTTCAGACTGAAACTACTAATAGCAGTGCCGGTGTTACAAACCTTACATTTAAATAACCATTCAGTTATCAAAGTTAAGCATACCTTATCATCCTTAGAGAGGCAGTTTGTAGCACGCCACGCAGGCAATTAAGATAGATATAGATACATTGAGAGAATAATTAGAAAATAAATTGAATAATGATGAGTGGCGGCCCTAAACACATCATGTATCTGCATCTGGGTGTTGCAGCACTGTGCTGTGGGCTGCATTATCAGAAGGGCAGCTGACAATGGTTCAATCTTCATGTTACACCGGGAAAGGAGGAGAATAGCTGTGTTCTTGTGATGAATTCACCTTCATTTAAAACACAGCTGGACTACATCTTACATGTTTTACAATCGCAAAATTATTTGAAAGAGAACACTGCCAAAATAAATGGCAAAGCTTTAGAGATTTCTGCCAAAATAATATTGGTGCGAGTAAGTAATATGCAATGTGGTTTAACTTGTATTAACTTGATTATCAGACCAAAAAACCCAATTTAAAGACATCCCCTTGGACTTAGAGAAACTAGAATGGACATTTTTCACTATGATCTAACATTCATTACATTATGAAAAATGTTTGTGTTTTTGATTGTGGCACTTTTCACTCCGTGAACAAACTCAAAACCTGCTTTCTAGAAATGACATTTTCGGCACAAATGTTCACCTTTTAGTATATATTAGGGATGTGCATCTCCAACACTGAGGCCGATGTGATGCGCATCTCGATACATTGCCAACGATACGATACATTAACGATACATTTGAAGCACCAGGCGATGCGATACGATACGATTCACCCCTGTTGCGATATAGTTCGATACGATTGGATTCAACATTCGGGGCGATACGATGCGTTTCAACTAGGGATGTTAAGATTCACCGACTCACATCGGTGCACCTGCATAAACGTTCAAGATGCGAGTGCACCGGTTGAAAGAGTGCACATCGGCTACAGTTTGGGTTGAACTTGCGATGCATCGATTGTAGCGTCTTGGTATCGGTAAAAAAACGATTCATTCATATAAAATCCTCTCATCCTGTTGATCTTTGCTTCGCCACTACGGAGGCCGGATTTTTCAAGAAAGACGGACAACTTGAAAAATTAGGCTAGTATGATGTGGGGTGGGGTCTGCGTCTGAAAAGAGAAACCTGAAAGTTAGACATATGAGTGAAATCACTCAGAGAGCTGTTCTGTCAGAGAGAGTGGTGTTTAGTTTACAGCAGCCTGGGACGGCCAATAACAGTTGAAATGTCTTCCTCACTGTAAGCAGTTATGAAAGAGCTGTTTGTGAAAGGTTCTTTGTATTCTTTATTGTTCCTATAGAAACCAGTGCTTTCTGCTCACTGGTGAGTTAGCCTATGGATGAGTGTTGAGCACATCAGTCAGCAGCTGTATGGGCATGGCACTATGGTAGCTGTTATTTGCACATTGTTAATCCGGCAATGCATCCTTACATTGTTTAACTGTGAGGTGTTATAACATTGAACTGTACTCTGGAGACAGAGAACACTACTACCCTTGTGAAAAGGCCAGCTTGTGAAAAGTCCAAGTGTTTTTTTATTTAAGGTCAAAAAGAAACAGCATGATGGGATGCACAGTACTAGTAGAGAGAACCAAATATGTGAAGCACTTTCTTGTTAATTTATGATTTGCTGCATATGAGGAATAAAACTAAATCCTCTGTCGTACCATATTGAATTGTATCAAGTACTATAAAAGTAAAAGTACTTTGTTCTGAACGTACAACACTATAATAATCCGAAGGCGACATATGAACGTTACTTTATTACTGTTAACGATCAAATAAAGTCAACACTTCACAGTGTATCTGAGTTGTCTGGGGTTTCTTAAACGTTTTAAGACATGTATGAATGGTGATAAACACAGTGATAGATGTCTAGGCCTAACAAGTTATGCTGCACTATTTTATTTTATTTTCAAATATGTTCATACCATACATATTTGGATTCATGGGAATAAATACATGCGGACAGAAGGGTGTGTGGAAGCAACCATAAGTTCCACTTTACTTTTTTATTTCAATTGTAACCTTGGTAATAGAAAATAGTTTCCCTGTTGTCCACGTTCAAAAAGCCCCCTTTTTTTTTTGGACAATTCTACCCAGACCTCAGTTGGTGGTAAACAGAGCCCGGACCTTTTCCTCCATCAGGCCTCTAGCAGGATGTCCATGTGTGAAGGAGACACGGAGTCGTTCTCCTCATTGGTGCTCCGATCTGTTCCCTCCACCTCCATGAACTTCTTGTCTCTCTGACTCTCTGACTTTGCTATGTTTGATTTTAGTTTGTTGACAATGTTGCCTTGTCTTTTTGTTCTCCTCAGCTGGATGGGGACACCATGTTCCTGGGTATGCCAGAAGCCGGCCATGACTTTGCCTCAACCAATCAGGTTAGTGTTTATGTGTGTGTGTCTGCGTGTGTGAGACAGAGCCTGAGTGAGGGCCCTCGGAAGCCTTTCCTCTGACATTTCCCAGGTTCTAATTTCATTGAGGGAACTAATTACTTGTGAAAGTGTTGTAACATTCCTCAACACAATTGGTTGTTCTGTATGTTGTCAAAACACTCCACACAAGTGGAATCACTAAGGTGTAAATGTGAACCAATTTGCTGCAAACAAATACATTGCACTTCTGCAAATAAATACATACTTTTTTGATGTGCAATGATAACAATTGGGCAAGCATGTCAAATTAAACGTCTTTGAGCATTAGGAAAAGCGCTATAAAAATCCCATGTATTATTATTAATATTATTTTTTACACTCACATGATTTTTGCAGTGAACTCTTTTATATGGTCCCCAAGCTAATTCTATAAACAAACTAGATCCCGATCACATGGCTGCGCATCACCATCGCTAAGCTAAAGGCTAATGTTGGGCATGATGACATTTAGTAGTCTCATTTTTTTATACAAAGAAGCTGTGGACATTCACCAGTTGGGTATTTACTGACATATTTTATGTCGTTAACCACAGTTCTTCAAGCTTTAACAAAAAACAGTGCATGTGACAAAATGCTGAGTAATTTCTGGCTTTAAAGGGGACCTATCGTGCAAAATGCACTTTTTGATGTCTTTTATACATAAAGATGTGTCCCCGGTGCGTCGGGGAACTCACGCAGCGTCAGAAAATAAAACCCTCTCTCTTTTCCTCCATACCCACATCTCTAAAAACGGAGCTACAACGGAGCTGATCCAGATTTGCGTCCGATATGACGTCATATCAGAAACGTTGCTATCAGAAACAATGGCCGACTGTTTTGGACGTAATATGGTCGGTGTTTACATTAGCATCGCTAACACTCAGAGCTAACCTGTACTGCACAGAGCATGTGTGTGAAGAAGCAGGAAGTAAAAAGGAACTCACCTTGTGGTATAACCGGAAAGAGAGAAAGCCTTTGAGCTCCATACTGTTTCAGAGAGAATCCTTGATAATCCATGATATGGCGTTTCATCACTGCAGTATCTGCCGGTAGCATCTCCCGTATTTTGAGCAAAACACTTCATAGACATATTTGTATATATCTGAGACCTATGCTATTGCCTAAAAATAGCATGATAGGTGACCTTTAAGGACTAATTTCTGCACCACTGTTGTTTTTACAGAATATTGTTGTTGATGATCATTGGGTCATGCCCAACTGTGTCTTTGAACTCACCTTTAGCTATCTCAGTCTTTACAGTTATTTACAGATGATTTAAACCAATATGTTTTCTCCCACCATGTTCCACAGAGCAATATCACTGACTGAACTGAACCTGAGGCACAGAAAGCATTACCATGATTGTATCTCTCTAAGCTTTTTCTTTTCTTACACAAAAAGAGAAATACTGTAGTTATTAGTTGTAGTTATATATTCAATTGTAGTTTCTTTGTTTGGGCTTTGCAATAGATTTAGTTAGCTTATTTAACTGATAATATAAAAAGAAAATATTGACTATTATTTAATATAATCAAGTGTTGAAGGATATAATTATAATCTGTGTTGATGTTGGACATGTTAGCAGGAATACTGTTTCCTTTGAATAATGCAAGGTAAGATGCTATTATCAGAATCAGAATTCCCTCATTTGTCCCTCAACTGGGCAATTTAGGAATAGCTTGCAATAGCAAGAGTGCAGATTACATAAAAAGAGTATAATATTCTAGGCAAACGTTATTCAAAATAAAAACCCTGAAAAAACTAATAATTACAGTATAGCAGTATAGTTTAATCAATGGTGGTCTATTTGATGAGGAACTTTATCATTCATAATTATTGGGTGTTTTTTTTATTAGTACTATTTATCCTTTCTCTGAACACTAATCCTGCACTGCACACTGAGCAGCGATGAGTCAGAAATCATGGCGATTACTCTTCCTCACTTTAATGACTCTCTGACCTCATTTACACACAGCTCAGTGGAAATGCATCCAAGAAGCGTTCAAGAATGATTAAAACCCAGGACGCACTGCGGCCAGATGTTGAAAAAGTGTTACTGCATCTATCCCACCAAGATGTTGCCTTCACTGCCCTCACAGAGAGTCTGTTAGCAGACTGAATATCTGAATACATCCAGGGGCTGTCTCCGCTGACCTCACTGCTACAGATGATTCAAAAAGGAGACATAAATATCATCTGATTCCTGGTCACATCAAAAAAGCCTCTGCAGCTTTAATTCTGACTTAATGTAAACTGCAGCTTAGTTAAAAGAAATACATTCACTATTCCATCAATGTTTAGGTCCTAAATCTGTAGAAGCCAAACCGTCAATTGGGATTTTAAAAACTGAACTAATAGACCGTATTTGCCTTTATTTTTAAACATATACAGTAGAGTACAGAAGGGGCCAGGCTTAACACAATATTCTTCAAACTTAAAAAATTGGGTTGACTTTTGCTGAGCACGGCATATGCATATATATATATACATTGGTTTGTGTTTCAATTATCTTCAAATTCAAATGTTAACTGTATGATTGAATATTAATCTATGATCAAAGTATCATTATTTTCAGCGTAACTTTTATTATGAGTAAAGATTGTGTAATAATAATAATACATTTTATTTATCAAGCGCTTTATCAGGTGCTCAAAGACACTTAACAGAGATAAAAAAAGAAACCATGATTAATAAATAATGAAACTCGAGTTTATAAAACAACATTTAGCACACATTGAAAGCAATCTGAAAAGGTGAGTTTTGGTCAGTGTCTTGGTATATTTGTATTAGGTTAATGAATTTATAACTGTCCAGAATGTCCTAAAATAGTGCTGATTCAACCCCTGACACAGTAACAGGATAAGAAGTGAAGAGGATGGATACACGGGTGGACATTTCCACCGGAGAACCCTGAGTCCAGTGCACAAAGTGAGATTGAGCTTTAAGGGTAGTTGATGGTGTATGTACAGCTGTCGTGTTATGTCACCTCTGTGCCATGACCAACGTATTAAAGATCATCTGTTTTTAGATCACTAAGCAACAGTCCTGGAACAGCACTATGCAGCAAACACTGTTTTATATGGCTGTTGGCGTCACTGCTTTTAAATCCTAGTGAAGCCTCTGGAGAGGAACGTGTGTGTTTGTTAGTGCACAGTTACCTCACCAGCCAGCACGGCCCATATTAATAAGAAACACCATCAGAGATACATTATTCATAGGTTACCATCTAGGAAATATTGTATAGGAGTCTATGATTTGATGTTTTATTCATGGTACCATAAGAAGATGGGGAGTGGTGTGTGGAATAAGAATGTATGGCTTTATTATTGAAGTACCATTTCTTTCATAAAGTCAGGGGTTGTTGTGATGAATGTCACCAATTTCAGACCAGTTTAACCCTCTCTGCAGCAACATGATGTCTCTCTTCCTAACAACAATAATATAATACATTAATACAAATAACAAAAAGTAAGAACAATTAAGATTCAAGGCCAATTTAAAAGAAGATGTTGCTAATAACACTGCAAAAATAAATAATGTAAATAAAAACCCATTAGATAAAGGAATACATAACACATTATAACAATAATAAAGATTAAAGGACCATTAAAAAAAATAAAAACATCTGCAAATCTTAGCTAAATACCCAGCAGGAACACTTTTGTTTCCTTTATTTAATGCATTAGTGTCTAAAAGTAGTAAAATGCACGAAAAGGAGGAGAGACAGGAGGAGGGGCTTAAGGGATACCTGATGTGTGCATGCTCTATGAGCTCATATACCGGTACTTTTGCTCTCGAGAAGCAAGTATGACGAGTAATTTTGACAGATACGGGTACTTTTGTGGCGTTTTATCTTCATGCGCCACTGAGCAACTCTCATAGGAATGAACAAGACCCCGCCTCCAACGCTGGATAGATGAGAGCAACACATCCGGGTACTTTCCCTCTATGGAAAGGCCACACCCCTTTTTGGGGTGAAACACTCACTGTCAATTGAACGGCGGTAAATACAGATTCTGAAGTTTTCCCCTAATACATCGAAAAAGGAATAATACCGGGCCTATTTTTTATCTACAAGGAGCCCAAATATGACAGGCAAACAATGAAACAATGTTATTGGAGTTAAATGATCGGCGTCGATTTATGGTTTAATTTAAATCAGTAGAGGATGGATGTCCGCAGAGTGGCAGGCTAACACTTAAACTGTGATTTCAGATTTAGATCGTTTGTTTTTCAGTCCTTTTTTCTAAGTGAAAGTAAAGAACACATTCATTTATTTTGTTAAATGTGCAATAGCACAGCAGCTTTTAGACATAATGAAACTATATCTTTCCACTTCTCGCTGATGCTTTGTTTTCACTGAAAAGAGGGCGGGGCTGTAATTTTGTCAGGAAGTGACATAGCACTGCTTTCATCTATCCAGTTCTCTATTTACATCCATGGTACAGAATAGCGGTACTATTTCCTGGCCTGTTGCAGGTACTTCCTGGAGCCTCTGCTGGTTGACTGGAAATAGCCCTTTTTCCAGGCTTTATGCTAAGCTAAGCTAACCAGCTACTGATTCATATCTAATGAACAGATGTGAGTATTGATATTGTCATTCAATTCTTGGCAAGTGCTAATAAGCATTTTTCCCTAATATTGACAATTTCCTTGAATCAATATGGTGCCTGCCAGCTCCTCAGTGTATGGTTGTAGAGAGAGGCTTCCAGGTGTGACTGTATACATATTAACACATTAGTAGGATCCTGGTGTTAAAACTGAAACTGCTGATCACCACCCATAGGAAACATGTATTTTGTTGTTTCCTATAGAAAACACACTTCTATAAAACATGAACTGCTCAAACTAACCCGCCTGTTTGTGTGGTGTTGTGTAGTGCTGATGATATTTGATGGGTTTGTCTTTCCTCACTGCAGCTGGTTGTAACCTGCTGTTATCAGGGATTAGCTGTGGAGGGAATGAACCAGCAATTTATTTACAGCCTCTGTCTCTTATCTCTCTCCTCCTCTGAACGACTCTCTAAATCTCTTTTTATTTCAACTCAGTTTAGTTGTAGCAGTTAGTTGGTGGAACATTTAAAGCATTGCTGGAAAAAGTATCCTGATTCTTTGCCTCAGTAAAAGTACTAATACCACACTGTTCAAATACTCAATTTCAAGTAATAGAACTGCATCGAGAATGGTACCTAAGTTACTCATTTCTGAAAAAACTAAAAATATATTAAATATTTTAAAGCGAAAGCAGCAAATCTTCACATTTAAGAAGCTGGAACTGAAATATTATTTAACCAAAAACGTTATGGCAAAATTGCTACAAATTAATTATCTGTTAACCCACTCATTGTTTTATTTACCTAAATATAATGTTGGATTGTTTAATCTATACCAAATAATCATATTTTCAAAGTGTTTCCCTAGTATTGTGTGTCAAAAGCTCAATTTATAAAGTGTGTGTGTGTGTGTGTGTCCCCTCTCTCTTTGTCCTTGCTCCTCACCATGACCTCTTCCTGTGACCTCTGACCCCTCCCTGGCCTCTGCGTCCATATCAACCTTTGTCTGTCTTTGTGATTTTTCCCACAGTTTCGTGTGCCTCAGCCCCCCCACCCTCTCAGCAAGGTGACGCAATCCAACCAGCCCTCCCAGCACTGGAGGAGGGACACACACATGCCCGACACACACCGTCTGCCCTGGGTAAACACACACACACACACACACACACACACACACACACACACACACACACACACACACACACACACACACACACACACACACACACACACACACACACACACACACACACACACACACACACACACACACACACAGCAATGTCAGGGCAACACAGATGACTGTATAACAGTTAACTCACACTCAGTGATCACGTTGGCTGTATCCTGGTGACACCACCTCTCATATTAATCAGCTGCTCCACCTTCTCTATAGCTTACATAAGCACTTGCCCTGATCCCTGTTACCTGTGCTACTTTGAATAAAACATTATCGTCACGTTTTTAGAGCTCGGTATCCAATTGGTTATAGAGTGGTGCAGGGATGACGTATTTACCTGGAAGTAAGCTGCGCTCGGATTCCCTCGACAGAAAAGCAATGGGATTTCTCCATAGGATTTTGGAAAATAGCTCGAAATAAGGTCTGTGGAAAACGAACCTGTTAGATAAATGCACGTTTTGTTCATAATATCCACATCTATCCTACTTTTATCATTTTCTAATCATAAATCTAGTCGCCAGAAGCAAAATGCTAACGTTATGCTATAAAGGAACTGCAGCAGGGTCGCTGCTTCAACCTCACGCTAACTTAAGATCCATATTCAAACATACAGATTCTAAATGGAACAAGTTGAAGCGTTTGTTTGAACAGTTTGTAGGAGGCAGATACTTGCTTTCAAGCAGAACAGGGCAAACTAACTTAGAGGAGTGTTTTACGTGTTCGGTGTAATGACAACGTCCTGGACAACTTCTGTAGTCCTATTCAGCCACTTGTTAACAACCATCGTTTTTCAGACACGTAAACTCTTCAGAAATCACCAGCGGGTCACTGCTGATGGATTTAATGTCGTAGAACAAAACGTGACCCGTCTCTTAAATTTGTGTCAACCACAGACCTTATTTCCAGCTATTTTCCAAAATCCTATGGAGAAATCCCATTGGCTCTGAAACCAGGGAACCGGTAGTAAAATGCTAACTCACTTCCTGGTTTTAGGACTCGTCACTGCACCACTTAAGTTACATCTGAACACTTTTCAATGTTTTGCTACTTGTACTTCTACTCAACTACAGTTCAGAGGTAAATGGTCCACTTTTACTCCCCTACATGTATTTACCTTTAGTTACTTTACAGATGTGGATGAATGATGTGAAATATAATCAAGTGTTAAATCAGACTTTAGTTCCACCTGGAGTAAATTCAGTCAAACTAGCTGCACCTTTACCAGCAATAATAAAAAAGAAAAACAGACATTAGTAATAGAATCAGGAATAAAGACCGATAAGTACACAACCATGCCAAAAAAAAATGTGATGCAGCAATTGTGACATCAATCAATCAATCAATCAATCAATCAATCAATCAATCAATCAATCAATCAATCAATCAATCAATCAATCAATCAATCAATAAGATACGGCTGTAATAGGCCTAAGGCCTTTTAGTCGCTCATAAATAAGTAGATCACTGTTCTTTATACATAAATAGCATATTAAAGTATTTCTTTAATATGCTATTTACCTCACTTAGTTTTACATAAATTACAAATCCAAAATGTTACTCTGGTACTTTTACTTTTACCAAGATCTGAGTTCTTCCACTTCTGCTCAGATATGATTTTACCCAACCTCATATTGACTCTGTTCTACCTGCAGGTTGGCAAAAGTTTCCACAGTAACAGTAACTCATTTTACCAGTGTTATCCATTATTTTATTGGCTAAAATGAGCTCCACATACCTCATTGGTTGGAGCCGGCAGCCCTTGTACTGGGCTCAGTCTGGGTGTGGCCGACCCGGCTTAAAATGTGCCCTGCGGTCCCTTACGTATGTCACCCCCTCTGTCTCAACCTTTTAACACTGAAACTGTATAATAAACACTAAACTGGCCAAAAATAATTGTATTTAAAATGTGTGTGTGAGAATATTTTCGTTCTTCTCCAACACAGCTTCTCTCCATCTCCATCAGTTTCACAAATCACATTCAACTTGACTTATTATTGATATTTTACACCAATCAACTCAACTAGAGCCTTATTTATATCACCAAGGTCAAGAAAACAATGAAAGGAGATGAAAAGCCTACATGTGGTATTTCAAGGGTTCAGACAAATATGTGTCAGTGTTTGAGTCCATATGTGTGACTGTGTCTCTGTCCTGTACGTGGGGAAACATGTCCAGAGCAGGGTTTCCGTTAGCCGGTAATTACCGGTTTTTAGCTGGTAAAATTTATTAAAAACCGGTAAATTCAAAACCTGCCGGTCAAAATGTCTGGTAATAATTAGGAAGGCTCCGATAGATCGGCCACCGGTCATTATCGGCCGATATTCACTGTTAATAGTTTGATCGGTGCTCTCTATAAAGGCCGATCAGGAGAGCTGGATCTGATCGATATGGACATAAACGCGAGTGAAGTATAACCGGACACGCGAGAGAGAGATCAGATCAGCTGCTGAGTCAGACCGAGACACGCAGCTCTGCATGATCACCTGAAGCCCCGCCCTCTGTTTAGCTGCATGCGAAACTGACGGGCTGTCAGGAGAGAGAGAGAGGGAGAGGAAAAGAGATGATCCGTTTCTCCCGTGTTATTATTCAAAGTTAATGTAAACTTTTGAATAATGTACTTCATCTACTACAAGTAGTTTGTTTGAATGTAATAATTATGTTGTTTGTTGTTTGTGGAATCATTTATTGAAAAATGGATCTGAATTGTTCGATCTGTTACGATTATAGACTGAAGCAATATAAAAATGAGCCCCGTGAACTGAGTTTTAAACTGAAGCATATCTGCTCATAGTCCGGTAATTACCTGCTAACGGAAACTCTGCTACACAACTCTTACTATTATTATTGAAATATGACTGGTAAGTTTCAAATTTGTCCGGTAAAATAAATTCTGCCCGGACATTTGACCGGCGAGAAAAAATCCTAGCGGAAACCCTGGTACAGAGGTCTGATAGTGACTCAGCAGCTCACCCTGTGGATTGTCTGAGTTCCAGAACCATGACATGAGCATTACAAAGGTCTGAACGCTTTTGTATAGGCTAATACAGTGAACCTTTTACAGAAGCTACTGCGCTTCGTCTAGTGAACATTTTACCTGGTCTGAGAAAAGAGGACGCCCAATCACAAATAACAGTTATCACTCACATGAATCCTGCACTGTGCTGCTTTATTATCATATTCCACATACTGCTATGAGGCATCATGTAAAGGGTTGAACACAATGTAGATAATAGACATAAATATGCATACTGCCTGCCGTTTATATTTGTCTCTCACACACACACAACCACACACCCTCTATCAGACAGTATTATTTGATGGAGAGAACAATGATGAAATGGAATGAGAAACATGTCCATCAGGCATTCATCAAATACACTCTGTACCTTCTGTCAGGGTGTTTGTGTGTGTATTAATGCAGCACACACTCTTTTTAAAAGGTCTGTTCTTTAGAATAGGGACAAAGGAGGCAGACAGATAGGTATTCAGATTATGTGACCCTCAGCTACTGTATGGGTGCTGTTTAACAGTGACACAAGAGAAGAGACACCGCTGGGAGAGCATACAGCATGTACACATCGGCCCAGATTTCTCAAATGACCTTTTTTAACTCAAAACATAAAATTGTAGACGCCAGTAAAAAAAAGGGGTGTGCGCAGAGCTTTAAAAATACCAGCTATTACAATTTTATATTTAGAGAATTAAATACATTATGCTTAAAAATATGCCCAGTAAAAATCTAGATCAGCGGTTTTCAAAGTGTGAGGCGCGCCTCCCCGGGGGGCGCCAGAGAGCTTCAGGGGAGGCACAGCGTGAGAAAAAAATTACGAGAATTTCAGCTAGTTAACTTCAGCTAACTTTATGCGAGCGGCAACATGGATCGATTTTTTGTGAAGCTACCTAAAGTGAGAGAGGAGACAGCGTCTGGCAGAAAACGTCACTTGCACACTTTTGGCTGTCTGTGGAAACCGAGTTCCCCCACCTCGCCAAAAAGGCTGTAACAGTGCTCATTCCCTTCACCTCCACCTACCTGTGTGAGTGCGGCTTTTCCGCATTGACTTTGATCAAAAGCAAGTACCGGTCAAGCAGGGGCGGATCTACCGGGGTGGAAACTGCCACCCTAAAAATACCACCCCAGTTGGCAGCATTGTTTTGAAATAAAAGTTGTGGCTAATCAGACATTTATGAGAGAAAATCCCTAATGTCCCCTCCCCCGGCCCTGGCGTGAGCGTGGAAATGTGATTGGTGGCGATTTCATTTGAACGGGACGGCGCAAAGCGAGAAGCATTCAGACCCCAAGTAGACGGAAGGAATGAGGTATTTGCGGTCTACTATGACAGAGAAGAGACTGTAAAGTTTGGCTGTACTCAGCATTGAATCAAAATGCACTAAAGCTGTAGATCTTAATAAGTTTGTGAGGCGTTTTGCTGAACAACATGGTAATCGCCGCAGTCAGCTGTTATAGGCATGCCAACTTGATGCTCTGCTCACGGATGACTCGATGAGCATAAAAAACTGTTAAGATGATGACCTTACGTTACCTGACCAATTTGCTGCCCTAGACAAGATTTTGTTGGGGTCTGCCCCCAAAAAACAGGTTTAAGTCCTGAGAAAGTCAAATAAGACGGTGTGTAAAACTTCACTGCCCAGCCAAACAAAAGTAACCACTTTGATTTAACTAGGCCTAAGGACTTTCCACTGGATAAAAAATACCCCTGCATTATAGCAACAACAACAACAACAATAATAATAATAATAATAATAATAGCAATAATAATTGGGAGGGGGGGCGCGGCTGTTCTTATGTTCTCTGAGGGGAGGCTCACCTTCCCACACTTTGAAAACCCCTGCACTAGATCATCAAATAACCTCCGAAATACATTTGAATATACCTCAATTAAATGACCCTGATCCGATATTGTCAGTGATATCCCCTGATTTAATCACCAGTCTCCTATAGA